CTACTCCCCCATCTTTAAACTTTGGACGCTATTTACTCAGCTATCCAGTAGAGCTTCCAGATGGCCATTCTGAAAGTTGGTATGGTGTAACACTAAAGTAGGTGGTTTGTGTGTGTTGATTACCTGGTTATAATAGATATGCACATCAGAGCCTTTACCACTATCTCCCTGTATTCCTTACCAGATTGCAAAGATGGAATGTTACTATTTTATCAGCAAGGTATTAAAGTGCGTTTATAAATTCTACTTGGCTTCAATCATGAATAAACGTGTTAGCAATTTAAAACATGGTCTTATTTGAAATAATTTGAAGGTGCGTAATGTGTAAATCCTAAGATTCTGACTGCTCATAAGAATGCTTAACTAGTAAATTGGATTTTGTGAGCTCGGCCCTCATGACTTCAGTGATGTGTGATAATTGTAGCAGAGTGCTTAAGAGTATGGACTTTGCATCTAGACTGAGTTAATATTCTGATCCCTTCACTTACGAGCTCTGTGAACTTGAGCAAAATACTTACTTCACTGTGATCATTTCCTCATTTGTAAAATGTAGTTAAGAATACTACTACTTCATAGGATCGTTAAGAGGATTAAATTAAAACATAAAAAGGATTTAGGAATGGTCCCTAGTGCATACTCAGTGCTATTTTTAAGAGTTAGCTGTCATTACCATCTACTGAGCCGCTTTCTCCCAAATTTCTATATGTGAAGCCTTGCTAAATATTTGAGCCCTTATTAAATGCCAGGTATTCTTAAATACTTGATGTGCATTTATTTTATTTAATCCTCACACCTATGAGATAGGTTATTTTTATTTAATAGATGGAAAAACTGGTATGAACTGGGCACAGTGGCTCATGCCTGTAATCCTAGCACTCTGGGAGGCCAAGGCAGTGGATGACTTGAGCTTGGGAGTTTAAGACCAGGCTGAGCAAGAAAGAGCAAGACCCTGTCTCTGCTGGAAAAAAAAAAAAAAAAAGAAAAACTAGCCCAGCATAGTGGTAGGCACCCATAGTCCCAGCTACTTAGAAGACTGAGGCAAGAAAGGATTATTCAAGCCTAGACTGTCTCAAGAAAAAAATGCTATTAACTAATATTAAAGTCATGCAGCTAAACCTAGACAGTTTGATTAAAGATTCTCCCCTTCTCCTAATCATTATACTCGGTAGTACCTGTGGCTCAAGGAGTAGGGCTCCAGCCCCATATACCAGAGGTGATGGGTTCAAACCTAGCCTTGGCCAAAAACTGCAAAAAACCATTATACCCCTACTATTTCCTCCAATGACAGAAAAATTAATCATAAAAATCCTAGATTTTTTTACATACAGATTATTCCTTTATGTAATTCCAAACTTACATACTGAGTTTAACTCGCTTTGAGGAAGATGACTTTCCTGTTTGTACTTATCTGGAATTGGGTAATGTTGAATCAGATTCTTAGATTGCCTTTTGTGGGGGGGGATTCTGGGAGCCTAATTTGGATTGGCAATGTGATATAGCAAAATCAGAAAACAAACCTAAAATGTCCCATTCTAGCAATAGCTGTCTTATAAATTGTTTTAAAAGAAACCTAAGTATTTTAGAGCCAAGAAACCTCTGATCAACTCTGAGCCTCTGATTTTAGAGAGGAGCCAGTATCTTTGTATAGATAGATAGTAAATAAGTGATAGGGCTCTAGATTTCTAAGGCATCATAAAGTTATTTAAAATTTATTAAACTTGTCTAGCAGCACATGTGGATGACTGGGTCCCAACCCATAAAACCAAGAAGCTATTTAGATGTTAAGTTATAAAAACCATCTAATTGGGGCCATTGGCTACTACAAAGACTTCAGATAAACTTCTGCCAATATATACCTGTAAAAATCATTTGTAAAATGACCTGTAGTAAATTTAATAATTAAAAGGGCAAAAACAAAATATTCTTACTCAACCTCTCAAATTTGTTGATCAAGTAAATAATGTATCTTTGCATATGATCATTTTGTAGTTTGCAAGGGTATGGTTCCTTTTGATACCATATAGAGAATTCCAGAGCCAGATAGTATAATATTAAATATTTATTCAAGACAGTAGTATGTAAAGCATTTACAAATAGTCCCATAGAAGAGTCACAAATACTTTCAACTTAGGATGCACACTTGCATTCACAGTACATAGGAAAAAGGTGATCTCTAGGGCAACTGTAACAAAAAAGAACAGCAAATACTTTTTTTACACTGAGGAAAATGTCCCTAAACATTTTAATTTTAGTACACTCAGAAAAAATAGTCTCTATGGTTTTTTATACATGCCTCAAGAATTCTGTTTTTCAGAATTCAAGGTTATAGTAAGCTATGATAAGGCCACACTGCACTCCAGCCTAGACTACCGATGAAACTGTCTCATTTAAAAAAAAAAAAAAAAAAGCCTTATTTTTCCCTTATAGAATTAACAATTCATGGTTAAGAAACACAGGATAAAGAAAAGGTCTTAAAATATGTATCAATATTTGTCTTCAAGTTAAATTCCGCCCCCTAAATATTTTTCTTTAACTTCAACAACTCTTTATTCCAGTTGGTAACATTTTTCATGTTTAGCAATATTACATGCATGTCTTCTTTAAACATATTTTAAAATAAGGACATTTCAGCATTACCTCAAATTTCAACTTGATGTAGAAGTCAGCTTTCACATCTTTATGCCTCACAAAGAGTAAATAACGTTCTGTATAATCTGATATGAATGTAATGAGAAAAAATACATTATAGCAACAAAATTAGCCCTCTTTACCATTATTTTTATTCTATAATGTAGGAGGCAAACAAAATTCTAATACTTAAGTACCTGCTGAAATGACACATAGCCTCCGAGATGTGTGTGTGCTTGTGAATACATACATCCTATACACATCTATACTTACATAGGTATGTAACTGGTATAATTGAGAATATTCATTAAAAAACTAATAAAAACAATTAGTGAAATAATAGTAAATGAATAAAAGCAGTTAAGATAAACAACAGGAGATTTCAGAAAAGGATTAGGCACATGGATATGGAAAAAAAGAGATTAAGACTTCAAGATGGAAGTAAAAATTTTTTTCCTGAGCCTTAAAGAGAACGAACTACAAGAGAAAGGTAAGGTATTCCAGCCTAGCTTCGGAGAACCATTTCCAAAAGACCCAATGCTCACCATTAAATGGGAGATCATGGTACAAAGGAGAATAAAGGAAATCTGTGTAGAGGACTTTAACATGCCTTTAAATTTGAATTCTATTCTAGGATTACCAATGAACTATTATTGGAATTTTAAGCAAGGAAGTAACCAAATCAAGTTTCTTAAGGTCAAAAGACAACTAACTTCCCTGTCCAGGAAATACTGGACAGGGAAGAGGCAGAAGGCACAAAGTTGTAATCACAAAGGTTTAGAAGAAAGGTGGTAAGATTTGAGATACTGTTTATAGTACTGGCACAGGAAAGGCAAAATAGAATGTCAAAAATTTTTAGCCTATCACAAGTATAACTCACATAACAATGAGATTTTTTTTTAATCTACCATGTCCAGAGACCTTTTGATTCTCAGCAATTAAAGGCTTCCCACACTTTCCTGATGAACTTGAGTTTCCCTACCAGATATTAATGACCAACTGCAGTATATATGCAACAGTGTACCTGCTTCTTAAAGGTGCCGATTATAGAATTGTTATTAAGCCTAAGAATTACTGGGAAAGCATATTTAAAATGCAAATACCTAAATCCCTTTTTCAGACTTGCATTTTTAAAGAACCATGTAGGTTAATGATCCTAATGCATAGTCCTTGAGTCCATCTTAGATCATTTACTATAAAATAGGTATAATTACAGAGTTACAACAATTAAATGAAATAATACGCATTACATATCTAGCAATAGCCCTGGCACTTTGCAGATGCTGATATGAGCCTCACCTCCTCCCTAACATGCTAATTTTAGATTTATAGATACTGAGTTTTCTTAAAGCACATTAAAGAATGGTTTCCCAATATACCTGCACAGTCCCTAATTTGTTGTATTAACAACAAATAAAGAAGCAAAGAACCTTAGAGGGGGTTTTCCTCTTCCTCTTCCATTGCAAAAAGGATAGTTACATGTGCTTCCTTTTGTCTTTCCTCACAAAAAGAATGGTCTCTGAACTGGGACATGATGAACAACATACAGAGAGAAAGGCAACCCAAAATAAGTGAGGAGAGATGAACTATTAAGCCCCCTCTAACTTTTCTCCTCTCCTTGCCAGTTCCTTGGAGGTTAGTGGACAAAGTTTTTGTTTTTGTTTTTGTTTTGTAGTTTATTTTTAGCTGGGGCTGGGTTTGAACCCGCCACCTCCGGAATATGGAGCTGGTGCCCTGCTCCTTTGAGCCATAGGCACCACCCAGTGGACAAAGGTTTAATGATTGCCAGTTGGCACTCTACAGAGGGCACTGTAACTGCTATAAACCCTTCCAGTGCCCATTCCATTCCTCCTGGTTGACAGAGGGAGATGAAATGTGTTCACTTAGACACTAGAGACAAGCATTTTCTCAGCCAAAGTACCTGAAGGAGTGATGCAGGAAACTACAAGAATGACAAGTTGGGCGGCGTCTGTGGCTCAGTGAGTAGGGCCCATATACCAACGGTGGCAGGATTGAACCTGACCCCAGCCAAAATGCAACAAATAAAATAAAATAAAATAAAAATAGCCAGGCGTTGTGGCAGG